GTGATGCTCCCAAGGATCCCCAGAGCACCGCTGAGCCCCACAGCCACCCCAGCAGAGCCGACTCCCCCAGAGGGGCACGGGGACCTGCTGCTCGGTTTCCAGTTCTCTGCAAGGGGTTCTTATCTGCCCTGGGCTTGGGCAGCTTCCCGGTGTGCCCCCCTGCCCACAGGGCAACAGTGCTGGGGCTGCGCCCAGAAATGGTCTGTCATGGCAGTTCTGTGGGACTCAACCCTGTCCTGCTCCCTGCCAACATCCCCAACTCCTGTTTCTGCCACACAGCAACTCTGGGGCTGGCAAAAGCATCACCCTTTCTCCTGGCAGCACAGTACCCTGCTGAGCCCACTGCCTCACCTGGAAGGAAACAAGCACCATGCAATTAAACACAAAATAAGTAGGAAGTGCAGGGGTGGGGAAGTTGACATGAGTCAGACAAGAATCACTGATATAGGAAAGCTGGCCTGGTAAAGGGGACACGGGAAAGTGACGCTGGTGGCAGAGCCACTCCATGAGGACACTCTTGTTGGGGCGTGTGCAGGACTAAGTGTCAAACTTGACTGACCCCATCAGTTCACAGCAACGTGTGAGTGAGGCAGGTGCCATATAGGGACTCCTGGGACCTGACTGGGAAATAGAAATAGCTAATTAGTTATCATGGAAATAACTTTTTTGGGTGAAATGTTTGCTGGGATCCTCAAGTGGCCACAGATTTGGCCCCTGCACAGATGGCTAGTAAAGTGAGTGTCTATTATTTCAAAGTAGATGGAGTAACCATGTAGATGTTTAGCAGGCAGATCATCTGTCTGCAGGGAAGATAAGTGCAGTGAGTCCTGTGGTGCAACCCGCCATTGCCCAAGGCTTGTGTTGGGGGCTGCGGGGTGGGCTCCTGCCAAAGGGAGCTGGGCATCAGGGCCCCCTCCCAGGCAGATGAGCTCCGAGGCACTCAGGTACTTTGGGGAAACACAGGTGCTTTTCTGGGTGACGTTGGCCTTATGCCAGATGCTGAGAGCTTGTCCTTTTTCTGAGCCGAAGAGAGTCACTGCGCTCTGTCCTTGTGCACTGCCCAGTTTGGTGAATGCTGTCTGCTCCCATTGGCCTTGGCTGCTGTGAGGTGCAGTGAGTGACTCAGAAGTTGCTCAGGATGCAGAGCCCATCTGAAACCAGGAGGCTGTCTTGATGGCTAATTGCCATCACTGTCCAAGACATAATGGATTTTCCATGAGACTTCACATTGCAGCTGCCAGATCTTGCAGAGACTTGAAGTGACTGAAGATTCTCTTGCTAAATCTCAGGTCTGCACTGGAACACTTAGAGATTCCCCTTAACCTCTGCTTTGAGAAGCTGTCAAATCTGCTTCTCTCCAAATGCATTGACCTACCTGTTCTCCTGCTGTCCCCAAGTGAAGGGGCTTGCATTCCACTGGATGTTCTTTCTCACTGCCTTTGTAGACAACTCTGCACCTCCCAGTGCAGAGTAGTCCCATCAGGGGAATGGGTGCTGCATGTCTGTCAGTGTCCTCCTCATACCCAGTCACAGGCTGGTTCCTGCCCTCCAGGCTACAGAACACTGTCAGCTGCTGTGCTGCTGCAGCCTCAAGCTTGTGTCAGACACTGGTGCCCAACAACCACCCAAAGTCTGCAAGCAGCAGAAGGGGAAATGTTGAGAAACACTTTTGCTGACTCCAGGTCTGTATTTCCTGCATTCAGTTTTGTTCCTGTGAGCCTTCCAGAAGGGCAGTGTCCTTGAGGCCAGCCTTGGTGCTCACTGATGGGTGTCTTTGCTAGCAGAGAGCTGGGAAGGTTGTTCCCTGCTATGCTTTCCCTCTCTGGATTTTCCCTTTGCAAGCCTTGGGGGCTGTGTTTTCCAGTGGGGGACAGACTAGGTGTCTGTGAAGCGTTCTGTGGAGTCACAGCCCCAGCACTGTGGGCATTCCCATGAGTGGTTGTGTGTTCCTGGTCTGAACAGCCTGCCATGGGACAGGGGTGCTTCCTCACAGTCCTGCCCTGCTCGATGCAGGGATGTGTTTGCAGGGTAAGGGAGAGCTGCGTCAGTGCAATTTTTGTGCAGTTTGAGTTGTGCAGCAATTAGATACACAAAAACCAGCTTTTATAGTCCATATGGGAGTGGTGATGCTCCACCTGACACTATACACAGAGAGATGCAGAGACACAGACCTGGTCTCTGTAAAGAAGACAATTCCCAGGCAGAAAACTATAGGACGGATGCTCGCTGGCTCTGTGCTTCAGTGCACCCCAAAATCATTCTAAAGGGCCTTATAACGTGGCTAGTTCCCAATGCCTCCTTTAGGCTTGGCTTTTACTGTGCACATTTCCCCTCCCAGGTTAAGCCCTACCTTGTGAAATTCTTCCCAGCTGCTCCTTTCTGGGAAGGATGGAAGCTCAGGCATTAATCCACTTGCTCCAATACCAGTGCCCAGCAAGGTAATAGGAGAATAGCAGATATTTGAATTACCCAGAAGTGAACAACTGGCAGATCTTTGACTTCAAGAGCCACTCAGAGATAGGACAGAGAGAGACTGTTTTAAGGCACTTACCAACAACTGCATTTTGCCTTTTTCCCCCACCTTTTACAGGTTTCTATGGGAGACCGTGGTCTATGGAACAGAGGAAACTTCTCTTTCAGTGGCAAGTACCCTGAATTTTCTTTTCTGCAGGGAGCCCGTGGCAGAGTGCCAAGATGGAGGCAGGAGTGGTGAGGGTGGATGGAGAGACGTGGGGCTGCCTTGTGCCAGCAGATGGTGCTGGGACTCCACACAGCCCAGTGCAGCCTGGTGTGCCCCGGTGGCTGCACTGGACGTGGGACAATGCACCACTACCACCCTCCCTGCAGCCAACCTGCCCTGCCCAGGGCCATTGTCCCTGCCACCCTGTGCTATATCCTGAGGTTGCCATCCCTGCCTGGTGTGGGTGGCCTTTCTGTGTCCCTGTGAGTCCCCATGCATATCTGTGTGTCACCCTGTGTCCCTGTGATGGAAGGACATGGGCAGGATCTGTCACTGGCTGAGAATCGCCTCGGGATGGAGTTGATTTGTCCAGCTCCTCTCTGAGCAGCTGGTGCCAATGCACAGACCATCAGTGGAATGAGCACAAATCGGAGGGCTCAGCACTGGGAGTGCTGGATGAGATTTATGTCTCCATGTGGCTGTGGCAGGGCTCCCTGTGCCAGGGCAGAGCTGCGGCTCCACAGGCTGCAGGGCCAGTGAGAGCAGACCCTGGCAGATCTGGCAGCTTTGGGACACGGTGCAGCCCTGGGAAGGAGTGGGTGCTGCGTGCCGAGCAGCTCATGGTGCCATGGCTGGCACCTGCCCAGGTGCAAAGAGCCCACGTGGAGCCTGGGTGACCCCTTGTTCTTGCTGTGCAGGCTGAAACGCCGGGGGCTGAACTGCTACATGTACGCGCCCAAGGATGAGCTGAAGCACCGGCTGCTCTGGCGAGAGCCCTACACGGAGCATGAGGCAGGTAGCAGCTCTGCTGGGCCCCACGGGGGGGCTGCAGGCATCCCGGGACCCTGAGGGTGAACCACGGGCTGTGTCCCAGCCAGGACCAGCCTGGCTGCCACTGTCACCCTGCCACAACCCTGCCCATTGCAGGGAGGCCCCTGGGCCTTAACTGGTGCAAGGAGACCTCTAGACTGCCTGTCATGTGGAATTGCCTAGGAGCCTCCCTAGCATGGGGAGCTCCCCATGTGGGTCTCTGGAAATATGCTTGAATACACCGAGGCCTGTAACCCTTGTTGAAAGTCCTCTGTTCCCCAAGGAACTGGAAATGGTCTCCCCTGAGCCTCTCCCCTGCCTTCCTTTCAGACTGCTGCTGTTCCCTCTCCCTCCATTCATTGTTCCACTCCATCCCATGGTCCTCTCCCTCCTTTGCCTCCCAGCACTCACAGACTCCCTCTGCTCTGTCCCCAGTCTGCATGCGGTCTCTCATCGAAGCTGCCCAAAAGCAGGGTGTGGAGTTTGTTTTTGCCATTTCTGCTGGCCAGGACATGGTGTTTTCCAGTGCCGGGGATCGGCTCCTGCTGCAGCAAAAACTCAGGCAGGTACCGTGGGCCATTCCTTCCTCCTACTGCTCCCAGGCCAGGGGTGCGCGTGCTTATATGGGCCCTGTCCCCACCCCAAGGGCTGCTCTGGGGCTGTAAACCTCTCCTGTGGGTCTTGTGCCCACCCCAGGGGGTGGTGTGGAGCTGTAAACCACTCCTGCTGCTGCGCATCAGGGAGCAGCTCTGTGGGGTGCCCAATGGCCTATGTGCTGTCCCTGTCATGGTGACAGAGAGCTGAGGGTTCCGTGGATGTCTGACTGGGGGCAGGATAGGGACCAGCCAAGCCCCAGCACTTGCTAGGCAGCACTGGGGTTGGTGCAGGTTGGAGCCCCAGGTCCTCAAGGAGGGTAAAGAGCTGCTGGCGTGGTGGGTTTGCTCCGTGGGCAACTGCTTCTCCCATGGCACAGCCCAGCAACTGCCCTGCACTGTGCCATGCCTGTCTGCCTCTCCCTGGCTCCTCTGGGCTCACCACCTCCTCTCTCCCGGGGATCCCAGCAGCCCATGTCTGTGCCCACAGGTGGCTGCCATGGGGTGCTGCTCCTTCGCACTGCTCTTCGATGACATCGACCCCTGCATGTGCCAGGCTGACAGAGACGTCTTCCCCTCCCTGGCACAGGCTCATGCCTCTGTGGCCAACGAGGTGTACCAGGAGCTGGGCCAACCCCCTGTCTTCCTCTTCTGCCCCACAGGTACTGCCTGCAGCCCTGTGGCCCCAGCGTCCTACCCCAGGGAGCTCCCTCAGACTGGGGAGCCCTTGGGCTGGCTGCAACCAGTCCATGTCTCTGCTGAGAGCTGAGTGCTCTGGCAGCCCACACAGCTCTCCCTGGCCTCCTCATTCTCCCAGGAGCGCTCTGGTGATGTCGGGACTAGGACAGGACCAGGCTGCAGAGGGCCTGCAGCCATGCTTGCTGTGTTCCCTGCACCCTACTCCTCAGCCTCTGTCCATGATCCTGGCAGCCTCTCCTCTCCTGGTCCCCCGGCCCTCAGGGGATGCCCTGTGCTCTCTCCCCAGAATACTGCAGCTCGCTCTGCTCTCCCAGCCCCAGCCAGTCCTGCTACCTGCAGACCATCGGCCAGGAGCTGCTCCCTGGGATCAGTGTCATCTGGACAGGTGAGCACCGGGACCAGCTCTGTGGGCATGTGGCCCCCGGGCAGTGTCTGCAAACCCCATGGCCACGGGCTCTGTCCTGGGAGAGCTGCCAGCAAGCAGCCCCACTGTGCTGCCTCAGATCGGGGTGTGCAGCCCCAGCCAGGCAGAAGGTCAGGACGGGGGTCTCCTGTCCTGGCTTGGGAGTGTAGGTGGGGTGACTCGACCATCACATCTGTGCTTGGCACCCAGATGTGTCTGTGTCCCCGCTGTGTGTCTGGGATGGACCACAGTGCCTGTGTGCTCCATGTGTGTCCATGCCCTGATGCTCCAGGCCCAAAGGTGGTGTCACAGGAGCTCTCAGCTGCTCTGCTGGAGGAGGTGGAGGGTGTCCTACGGCGCCGCCCCGTCATCTGGGACAACCTCTACGCCAATGACTATGACTGCAGACGTGTCTTCCTGGGCCCCTACATGGGACGTGCTCCTGGTCTCATGCGCAGGCTCCAGGGACTGCTTCTCAACCCTAACTGTGAGCTCCAGGCCAACTTCATCCCCATACACACGCTGGGCACCTGGTTTCAGAGCGAGCTGGGAATTTATGCCAACCCTGATTGTGCAGGTATGTGGCCCCAGTGCCCTGGCAGTTCTGTGCCTGCCAATTGCTGCTGGTTTTTGCCAGGCCCTTTCCTGCATGGCAGCCTGGGTGAGGTGTCTCACCTGGCTGGGCATTGCCTGATGACCCTGGGCATGGGGTTCATCCTGGGGGCCCACAGCGTGGCTTGGGGTAGCTCCATCAAACAAGGAGTGGGGCTGCCCAGGCTGATGAGCTGCGGTTCCCTAGGAATGGAGATGGTGGCAGCTCTGGGGGACAGCCGAGGCCCACGGGAGGGGAGCTACAGCCCGCAGGAAGCCTTGGAGCTGGCGCTGCATGACTGGGTTGCTGAGATAAACCAGCAGGCCTTGGAGCCAGGTAGATGATGGCCTCGCACTCCCTCACACCCCTGGAGTGCTGGGCTGGCTCTGCCGGGAACTCAGCGGGTGGGGATGAGGGAACCCTGTCCATTTGGATGGGTCTCTCAGGCTGGTGTGGCAGCAGGGCCTGTGCATGCTGTGGCAGGCAGGAGTGGGTGTCCATCCCACTGTGCTGCCCTGTGGGTGCTCCTGCCCTGGCCACATCCCGCAGGGGGTGTCCTTGGCTGGCAGCGTGGGAGCCTGGGCCAGGACACAGCTCTGAAAGAGGGGGTTCAGCCAGGAGCACGTTGGTGTTCTGCAGTGTTTGCCTGTGCAATGCCTGAGCCTCACCAGCCCCAGAGGCCTGAACTCGAGCCCAGGGCCTGGCAACATCCTGGTCCCTGCCAGCTCAGGGATGGAGCTCCCCAGCACAGCCATCCCCAGGTTGTTTTGCCCCATGGGCAGCAGCTTCCATGCAGGTGCCAGAGGGGCTTCCCCCTTGCTCCTTTCTGCCAGGAGGATGGACCCCAGGACACCCCAGTGTCGACCTCAAGGGAAGATCAAGGCTGCAGTCTGGCACAGCAGGAGGACAGGAGGTTGTGCCCGACCCCGAGCAGCACGACTCCGTTCCCAGTGGGGTAGACCAGCACGGCCCTGAGCCCTGTGGTGTGGCACCAGGGGAGGGATGCAGGAAGGTGACCTCGGAGCCTGAGAAGGGCAGTGGAAGCAGGACACCCAATGGCAGTCAGCAGAGCCCCACAGGGGATGGGGACCAGCTTGCCACGGGGAGCAAGGAATGCTGTGAGCCCTCCTCTTCTTTGCCCAGTGTGGCTGAGAGTGCCCAGTCTGCAGGAATCCCAATGGCTACCAAGACCCTTCTCAACCCAGGCCACACCATGAGTTCCAGCAGTGAGGCCAACACCAATCAGAACCTTCCTTTGCCCACCAGTGATGCCGGGACAGGGAGTGGCAGCCCCGCTCAGTCCCCCAGCAGCACCCAGCCTGAGGCCATCAGGGCTGACATGCTCCAGACACCCTCAGGGACTGGGGCTGGCGCCAGCCCTGGCCCCCCAGCCCTGCTGACTGAAGGGACTGGCGCCAGCCCTGGCACTCCAGCCCTGCTGACTGATGAGATCACTGCTAGCTCTGGCCCCTTGGCACCAGTGACACCAGAGGAGGTTACATCCAGCCCCACAGCAGCAGTAACCCCAGAGACTGGGTCTGGCCCCATGGTACCACTGACCCCCAAGGAGGCCAGGACCAGCCCCACATCACAGATGACCTCAGAGGAGGCCAGGACCAGCCCCATGGCACTGGTGACCCCAGAGGAGGCTGGGTCTGTCCCTACGACACTGATGATCCCAGAGGAGGCCGGGTCCAGCCCTACAGCACCGCTGAGTCTGGAGGAGGTGCGGATGCTGGTGGAGCTCTTCTACCTGCCCTACCATCATGGGGCACTGGCACAGGAGCTCCTGGAGCACTTTCGGTGGCTCCGGGCAAACAGCCTCAGCGTGGGGGTCCCGGCCACGGCGCCTGATGCCTGCGGGGTAAGGCTGGTCCGGGCGGAGCTGCAGGAAGGTGCCTGTCCCAGCTGGCTGAC